AGTTTGTCCATTCTTTGCTCTTCGTGAAACCTATGGTGTCGAATAAAACCCTGCAAGCTTTAAATTTGCGAAGACATACGCACGGATTCGGGTAGCACATATTCAGTGTTAGGGATAGTACAAGGGTCTGGCATTAAGTGAATGAACAAAATTGGGTGTTGACAGGTGAGAATCCGTTCACTCACTAAATCCCAGACAGAGCCTTGTACATTTCGAGTGATTGTTTGAGAAGAATGTGTAGGTAGACATTTAGATTGAGTGGAGTAAAGGTTTAAAAAAGGCAACAGGAAAAACTATCTCGAATTCCATCTCCTGCAAGTAATTTATAGGTATCAATACTGTACTAAAGCCAGTGCTAAATTCCAATATTCATTATCCAATCCGTATGATCACCCCTGAAATGATCCTGCACATGGTGAACATAAGTAAGAAAATACTTCCAATCCGATCCCTTATAGTCCGTTCTCGTTATGATACCTCATCTTCAACTCTGCCTCCTTCTCCCACTCGTTTGCGATCAACCTTGCAACATTCATACCCATTAAACTGCTAGTCTCCATAGTGCTGATGAAGCTCTCGATACCACTGGTATACCACAGTCCTGTATCCATAGTTGGGTCTTCGAATGTGACTCTGGGGTACAAGTACGGGTATGCCTGCCATATTTTTCTATACGACCAGCTGATCTTCGCCTCCTCCGCAGTCTTTGCGCCCAGGATCTCATATAGCTGGGCATCTGTGAATTCCTTGGGCGAGAAAACTTTGTAGAGATACTCATATCGACCTTTTCGAGTGTTCTCGTCAGTAGAAGGGCTACCAGGATCAAGATTGAAGTTGACAGTGCTACGGAGCGTAGAGATGGAAAAGAAGCCCACTGAGCCCACTGCGTCAGAGCTTGTGCCGCGAGTGAATCGTTCAGAGGCTTGCTCAGTTTCGTTGAGTGTGGTGAGAATAGCTTCAGGGACTCGGTCTCCAACAGGCAAACCAAAGAAGTTGGGGTCCAGCTTGTTCGGTGAGGTAAAGAGTGTAACGTGAAGAGTTACATAAGGAATTTCGTCGGGTATCTTCTTGAGCTCAGGGCTGATTGACAATTCTGAGAACTGATATGGCGAAGCGAGGACAACATCGTCATATTCCTCTTCAACAACCTCTCCGGATGGGCCATGGGAGCTAAGAACCCAAGTCTTGGGGTTTGGGCTGTTGGGATCGCGGGTGACTGAAGAAACCCTAGTTCCCAATCTCACTTCAGCTTTGGAGGCGTCGACCATGCCCGAGAAAATCCTCCAGTTTCCACCCCGAACACTCACAGCACCGTCGGTGGCCATGCAGACCATCGTCTCCAATCCGTGAATAAGGCCCAGATTTTGGCCATAATTCACGCGAGTTGACGCTTGGATAAGGTCTGTCGGGAATCTTCCATTAATGCCATTTTTAACTAGATATTGCTCCCCAGTGTCGGACGTAGCTTCCAACAAGCCAGCTTCCTCAACCACAGAAGAGAGGGAAGAGAATGGGAATAGTGGCGCCTCATACATGCTGAGAAACTTGCCCACAGTACTGGACATCAGCTTTTTAGTGCGCAACGGTGCAGTAGGTCCATATTTCCAGAGAAGCTTAGCAAGGCTCCACCAGTTTTGGAACTTTCCTTCTGTGTATGCTTGGCGGAACGCAAATTTTGAGCCATCCCAGACTGCAAGTGGATCTACATTTTCTTCACCGGGGCGGTCCTCAGAAAAACCAGAAAGATCGAGACCGAATTCCTTGACTGCATTCATAAGGTTGTAATTTACTGAGACGAAGATTGATGCACCGAGCTCTACGGGCTCTGTTGGGTCGTTATAGACATTTACCGTAGTGCTGCGACCGCCAATGTAATTCTTGGTATCGAAGATAGTTATGTTTACTGGTTGCGCTCCGGCATATTTGCGAAGGTAATAAGCTGCTGAAGAACCCCCCGAACCAGCACCTGCAGCCAATTGATTAGTTACCTATCAGAGCTAGCGAAGATGGTAGTGTTGTAGTTACCAATGATGGCCACCCGCTTGGTATGTTGCCCACTTAGCTCCCCGTTTACCAGCGGCTGCTGCTCATGATAGTTGTGAACCTCTGGAGAGCTGGAGGCGAAGGCGTAGAAGAAGAGTGTGAGGGAAGCGAGAGTGAACGTGGCGAGCACAATGCCCGCTCGTGATTGCACCATGATAGCTTTACTTAAACTCAAAAGAAGAATAATCTCTTGCGGAGTAGAAATTTGAGAGCTTAAAAAAGAGGTTTTTAAACCTCAGAAGAGTTGGGTTTGGGGGGGGCTGGGTGGTGGAGGTTAGATCTGAGGACATGGTCGTCTTGCAAGTTATAATAGGATGATGACTCTTCTAATCATTCTACGCCTTATACATATCCCGCCAAGATACAACGATTGGCTGCTACTCCTCCTACTTGTGTCAAGGACGCGAAAAGCTCTGCCAAGATAATCCCACTCCCGCAGTCACGTGCCAGTGTTGAGTGCACAATAGCCTCATTGTGCAGCATAGGAATTTATGTATATTATTGCTTGATGATCATAAAATATATATGCTCTGGTGGCCAAGTTGGTAAGGCGCAGCACTAGTAATGCTGAGATCCTCGGTTCAACTCCGAGTCAGAGCATTTTCACATCTTTTTTTTACACCTCCCTTCCCCACACAAAACTAGATTATTATCGCATGCAAGCTTCTTTTAAAGAAAATATGAAATAGAACTTTTACAATATTTATCAAGAAACGAATTTCCAACCCTAGTCCGGAAACGCGGGTGCTCAGCGACTGATCGGTCTTGCATATAATATCAAAATACATTCCTCTTAGCGGCACGCATTTGATACAATCTGTAAGTCAGCAGAATACGCCCACAAAATCATGAGCTTGGCGTATTTTTTGTATGACCTCCAAGATAGTCGCGTCCACAAACGCCAGCACATACCTAGTACTCGTAATATTTATCTCGGGCAGTACGGCTACCATTAGCCATTTTGTTACTCTCTTCACTCTCTACTTTTCTTTTGTCGATTTTGTAGTGGTCAGGGGAAGCTTCTTGTCGTCTACTTTGTAAGAGGATGTGCGATTGGTAGCATACCACAAGGGGCCGGGCGGGTAAACGGGTATAGGGGATGGGTGTTGTTCACGCCATAGCTTAGGCTCCATGCGATATTCTTGTACCCAGAAATAAATGAAACACCGATATAAAAAAAAAAAAAAACCTAGTACTCGTAATTTCGTGATTACATTTCTGTATCCCACGCATTGACCCCGGCGTTGATGGACATCTATATCCTCGGAAGTGTATTAAGCGATCGCCCTCTGCATACGGGACTGTATCTGCCGTGAGCAAGCTCTATATTTTGAATCTCTGATTGGTTAATGGTGTGATCGGCACCAATCAGGTTGACCCCCAACCTTGGACGGTGATGACTTGCCAACCACCACATCTATAATCACTTTCTCTCTATTAAATAATTCTTGGGCCTTCGCTCTACATAATGACAGAGCCCGATTAATTCTATCTTTTATTGTTGTGGTGTTATTGCATTTCCAAAGGTCGGGCCTTTGGCCCAACACTACCTATTTAGGCAATAGTCTTAGAGGGTTGACATTTAATTAACCGGTTGGGAAATTCTACTATGTACCTCTTAATATAATTGGCACAAAAGTGCACGAAAAACACCTACTCCGGATACAGGTGTCCGCAGCCATACTTGTATTTGTTCAGTCAACAGGAACTCGCCTCGGATAGTATAGTCCCAACTCGATACGCCGGAACCCTTGCTGTCTCGTACGAAATCCTCTGGAATATTAATTTTCTTACTGCAAAATCAATTTGTTGTCCCAGATTTTTTGCTATCCCGCGAGGTCCTTCGAATCTTGGCAATCCGGTATATCGAGTTACGACTGTATGTAAACATCTGTAGGGTAGACAGACCATACATAATCCATGCACACCTGCAAGGCATATATCACAGGTAGTGATGTTGAGTACCCAAGTAATTACTTATTAGGTCTTTATAATTTAGCCTTGCAATCATGTTACAATATACATATACCCCCTCACGAGAAATCTCGGACAACGTCTGATTAAAAGTTAATTAGAGGAATTGTGGACATCTATGTTAGTTTATGGTTATATTATCAGTACTTGCAAAGTAACAAAAGTCTACTTTAAGCCGGAAGGGGATACTTTACGGTCAATATAGGTGTTTTCCTAAGCCTGATTATAGGACTATATAAACCCAATATTAGGCTTGTTCGAGATTAAGACGTTATTGCGTTTTCAGTTTCTTACAAGTACCCGCCACCCCGTAACGTCAATATATGTTAGCCAATTTATTAGATCACATACAAAGAAAAGGCCCTCTTCAAATATAAGCCGTATAAACCCTATATGAGGCTTAGATCTGTACGTATTTTCACGGCAACTTGAATTCTGATGGAAGGATTAAGCGTTGAGATTTCTCTACAAGTACATGTACTTAAGTATAAGTAATTAGTAACGTTTTAGACCGGGTACCGCGTCAGACCTAGAAGAGTGTCAATCCCATATAAATTTGTATGGGGATTTCTGCTGCCAAAGCTATCTCCACCATCTCTTGAGATGGTTACTGCCAGATTTTTGACAAATGAATCCCACTTAAAAGTACACGGATTCGGACGGTTTCCAGATGGCTTATCCTCTATCATGGTGTTGTGGGGTCTTCTTTCTTTTTGGGGCTTTGTGTCTGGTTTTGGTGCCGTTGCCATGCGACACACTTCTAGGTCAGACACAGTACTGGGTCGAAAACGTTACAGCGAGAGGTAAAATTATTTTAGAAACAGGGGTCTAAAAACAGAGTTTGTATGGCTGGTCAAGCCAATAGGGTTCCTCTCATATTTCTACAATAACCTTACCACAAGCTGTATGTACAAATATCCCACCAGTTAACCATTCAATCATCAAGCTATGTCAGTTCTTAGCATTTGACCGACCTCTTTCAAGCTCGGCTGGTCTAGTGGTATGATTCTCGCTTAGGGTCGCACCCTAAGTTAATATGCGAGAGGTCCCCGGTTCAAACCCGGGGTCGAGCCTGATTTCAGTATGTACAAGATATTGTTCCTAAAAAACTTTTAGATGGCTTCCCTAGCTACCCGAACACCCCCTCACCCGAACAGTTGAGTATGGTTGGTACACACACCGGTTGCAACGAAGATCCTTTCTTTTTGACGTTGACTGTTCGGGTGAGGGGGGTGTTCGGGTGGCTAGGGAAGTCGTCTAAGGGCTATTAGATAAGTCAAATATATATTGACCAGGGAGAAACTCCGCCCCAAAAGAGCACGCACAGCAAGAGTAGTGATTATGTAGAGAATCACCAGCGAGAAGGAAAATTTATACCCCTCAAGCATGAGGGCTAGCTCAATGAGCGAGCAATTGAAGAGGTCGGAAGAATTGATCGCACCAGGGGTCGAACCTGGAATCTCTTGATATCGGATGTGAATCGTAGTCAAGCGCCTTGCCATTGGGCCATGCGACCTTGTTTGAAGCTTGCATCCGGATGTATAATAATAGACTAAAAGTTAAAAGCGGGAGCGGGTTTAATTTGTGGCCTACTAAGCCTAGAATCTGTTTTGGCGGGAAGTGTGGGAGTAGCGGGTAGCGGAGAAGTCTGTGACCTCCAAACTTGGCATTGAGGTTCCATGCGTCCTGTACAAACCAACGTCTTAAAGATATAACATATTTGAATCCATAGTCTCGACCAAAGACGCAGTGATGTATTGAAGGCTAATATTGAGTTGAAGAGTCATAAACCCTCACTCGATGTTGATAACGTTCCGTCTTCTTCATGATTCTAGAGGAAATCAGATTCGCAAAAGAATAAGTATACCCAGAGAGAAGAGCTGAAGGTATTCAGAGTTACAAACGTAGTAGTGGCCTCCAACTCTGATACGCGCATAAGTAGTAGACCCTTAGGCCTATCGATAAGGGCCATGTTGGTAGCTCCAATCTTATCTTATCGCCATGCACTCTAACTACATATATTAAAAGCAAGGATATGGCTAGATACGGTAAACCAGCACTGACATACTCATCTGATTCCATCTGAACAGGCAAAGGGATGAGTACTCTGGTTGAGCTATAGCCTTATCGGGGAATGATCGGACGTGATGGTGGGGGTTTTTGGTTGTAATTTTTTTCCGTTAGTTTTTTCTTTTTCTAACTCTGCCCCTCCCTCGCGCAATTTTTTCTTTCGATTTTTTTTTAGCTCATCAATACAACAAAACCCCGACGGATCCCCTCATCAACTCAAAATCCATCCATCATCACTACGATTTTTTGTATTCTTTCGTCGACACAGAAAGTCCATCTCAAAATGACTGAAACTAACTCTGCCTATGCCCTCTCTCAGGCTCACAAGGAGGTACGCAATCAATTGTAATGGTTTATCAAGTTGGTGCATAGTGACTCACATCATCTACAGCTCATTGAGACTTCTCTCCGCGACAGTGACCCCGAGGTCCAGAAGATTATGGTTTGTTTATCTCACCCCACCCCACCTCATCTCAATTGCTAAAACTCTATAGGACCTTGAGATTAAGCGTCAGCGCGAGTCTATCCTCTTGATTGCCTCAGAGAACGTCACCTCCCGCGCTGTCTACGATGCTCTCGGCTCCCCCATGTCCAACAAGTACTCCGAGGGATACCCCGGTGCCCGTTACTATGGTGGTAACGAGCACATCGACTCGATCGAGACTCTCTGCCAGCAGCGTGCTCTCCAGGCGTTCCACCTCGACGCCGAGAAGTGGGGTGTCAACGTTCAGTGCTTGTCTGGATCTCCTGCGAACTTGCAGGTATACCAGGCTATCATGAAGCCCCATGACCGTCTTATGGGTCTTGACCTTCCCCACGGTGGTCATTTGTCTCACGGATACCAGACCGCTACCAAGAAGATTTCAGCTGTCTCAACTTACTTCGAGACTATGCCTTACCGTGTTGACCCTGCAACCGGTATCATTGACTACGACATGCTCGAGAAGACTGCCGTTCTTTACCGCCCCAAGACTCTCGTTGCTGGTACCTCCGCATACTGCCGCAACATTGACTACGCCCGCATGCGCAAGATCGCTGACCTCGTTGGCGCCTACCTTGTTGTTGACATGGCTCACATCTCTGGTCTCGTTGCCTCGGAGGTGATTCCTTCTCCTTTTCTCCATGCTGATATCGTCACCACCACTACCCACAAGTCTCTCCGTGGTCCCCGTGGTGCTATGATCTTCTTTAGGAAGGGATTGAGAAGCGTCGACAAGAAGGGCAAGGAGACCTACTATGATTTGGAGGGCCCGATCAACTTCTCGTATGTCTCTTCCCATTCATTTACTCTTTGAATTTCGCTAACCTTTTGCAGTGTCTTCCCTGGTCATCAAGGTGGTCCCCACAACCACACCATCACTGCTCTTGCTGTTGCTCTCAAGCAGACATTCTCCCCTGAGTACAAGTTCTACCAGCAGCAGGTCATTGCCAACGCCAAGACACTTGAGGAGGAGTTCCGCCGCATGGGATACAACCTCGTCTCCGGTGGAACTGACTGCCACATGGTTCTTCTCGACCTCAAGTCTGTCTCTCTTGACGGTGCCCGTCTGGAGGCTATTCTCGAGGCTGTGAACATTGCTTGCAACAAGAACGCTACTCCCGGTGATGTTTCAGCTCTTTCACCCTCTGGTATCCGTGTCGGTACTCCCGCCATGACCACCCGTGGTTTCGGCACCGAGGAGTTCAAGCGTGTTGCCCAGTACTTTGACACCCTCATCAAGCTCGCCAAGAAGATCCAGTCCGAGCTGCCTAAGGAGGCCAACAAGCAGAAGGACTTCCGTAAGTACGTTCTCTCTGGACAGGTTCCGGAGCTCAACGAGATGAAGAAGGAGATCGCTGCGTGGGCATCTACCTTCCCTCTTCCCGTTGGTCCTGCCTCATAGATTACCAGTACCTAAGGTTTAATTTCCTTTGTAATTTCATTTTCTTTTTGTTTGGGTCTTGGGAGGGGGGAGTGCTTCAACTCGCAAGTGGCCTTTATTTTGCGCTGTCTTGAAATTTTACCTTGTAGTTCAACACTAGGAGTTTGTCATTGGTTTCGTTTATGTATAAGAATCAAACATTTTTTAAGACACCAGATCCCGCTTGGGCTTATTGTTTTCAAACTCGCATGTGTTGCGACTCATAATCATGCCTAAGCCATGAACCAGTTGATTCTTCCTCCATAAATGAAAGTTAAGGTGGAGATAAGGGCTTTATTACACATATGTAGCTAAATAATCGTCGGGGTAAAAGAGTATTTAAATGACTCTTGAATCGGGCATTCTAGCTTCCGCCTTGACACTTTGGGTCAACATGACTCTAAGCTTTAGAAAATTCAGAATCAGGCACTATAAATGATCGCACCAGGGGTCAAACCTGGGATCTCTTGATATCGATGGTGATCGTAGTCAAGCGCCTTTCCATTGGGCCATGCGACCGCTGAAGGGAGTTTATGAGCATATTTACTCAACCGGATACGTCGAGGCTTAATTCATTGATCAGCATCTGTCTGCGTCTACTCATAGATCAAAGATGAATGAAAGGATTGGTGAGAGGGTGATGTTGTGAAAATGTTTTGGAGGAGTTTATAGATTGAAAAGCTGTGAGTGCTGAGACAAGGGAGGAGGAAAGTGAACGTGTACAGCACAAAAGGTTGTTGCAGAATGGAGATATCGATGTCTGTCGGACGGCTTAACTGATTGATGGCATTTCATTAATCGTGTTTCTGTCGGATGGTTGACTTAGGAAGAAGTGATATTTCTGGTCAGCATTGCTTTCAGTAAAGAGAAATCAAAAAGAAATGACATACAAATAGCGTATCCACTCTCACCCTCCTCATCCCCCTCATCCTCTCTGCTCATCTACCATTAACTTGTGATATCTAGGTCTTGATTAATTGACTCAACCTGTAGTCAGTTCTGGCAGTGCGGCGGGTGACAATTCAAATAAGGAAATATAAAATAGGAGGAGAGGGAAAGGGGGGAAGAGGAAGGAGAGGGAGGAGAGGAAGGAGAGGAAATTAGAAAGAGGGGAGGAGGGAGACTCATCGAAAGAATAATGTGGACTCTACATGTACTTGTTACATGTATTGTAGAAATAAGGTTCCATTACGTACAGTGCCAGGTACTTGTAATAAGTGATGGAACGGGCTGAGACAGAGTGATACCTGTTTTGAGTAAAATGCCACCGACATACGGTGATTGCAGGTACAACCATATTTCAGGGCGTTCCATCACTTATTCCCTGTCGCTGTACATTATGGGAGCCTCGTTCCTTCCCATACTCGAACACCTAAATCTTAGCGCTCTAGGCGGTATCCCCACTGGAGATCCAAATCCAGGTCCCACAATACTAATACTCCATATAATATGCCAGTAGGTCAATGATCGGAATGTAATATACCTTTCTACAAAGACAATGAAAAGAAAACATGAGGATAATAACCGCAGTACCAGCGGGGAAATAGTTGAAGAAATTCTATTTATTGCCTCGTTTAACATACCCTTCCCTTTTAATCTTAACCTCTAGAATCGAAGTCTTTGTTAGTCTGGACCCTGAAACCAACGGACCAAAGGCCGATAGGGTCTTTCCGAAAGTATTCCCGATAGTCTTAGTCTCAACTGGTTAGGTAGACGGTCTTATACATGGCATAAATTAATAGCCGTGAACAGTCATACAATGGTGGGTATTTTGAGGTCTGGGAGAGGGATTTGTCATCATGAGCGATCACTCGTTATCCGGCCATGAACATTTGCGATCCGAAATCCACTTAGCTCAATTATTTTATAGTAAGACCTAATATCTACTCACGTTTTCGGTTGCTTATCAGCCTAGTCCTGCTTGTTCGAGGCTATGTTGGTCATATTGCCACATGACAAGCGTATTTGGACCAATTCCGGTACGCTCTATCTAATAAGTATATAGTTATAACCTGCATATGCTATGTACTTTTATAATCTTCTGATTGGCTCATTGAGAGAGGTTTTGTTTCACTTCAAACATGTTGTGTTGGATATTAACCTAGGGTATTGTGCTGAGTGGTGTTAGATTGTTAATAAGATTTCTACTGGTTCTGGGAAGCGATTAATAGTTGGATTTTAGAGGCCTAGTGGCTGTTAAAGAGATATACTTGCAGCTTGAACTAGAGAAATTTCTAATCTATTCACTGATATATGGAGGATATCAGAAAAGGCACATATAAGATCGACCAGCGCAGATATAGTGATGGACTTTGCTTGCTAGGAGGCATCTAGGCGGCTTGCCTGTATATTGGACTGATTGATATATGTGTAGTACCGGCCGAAGGCTGGAAACCACTTGTATAAAGTCTATGTATGTACCTGATACCAAACTCGGTCCAAATACTCTATCTAGTCACGTGTAGTCATTCTCTAAAAGTGGTAATGATTCGTAACAGGGAAATTTGATCATCCGTCACAGTCGTATACATTCTAAAGAGTGCCTGTACTCCCTATTTTCTCAGCGTACCTGTTTATGACTGTAAATCAGGCCCCTTAAAGAAGTACTAACTGTAAGGCGCATCCGGGTTGCTCCCTCAGCCTTTCCTTCTGGCTGTCTAGTGATATTTTATCAAGACCGCATTAGAGTAATTCCTTACGGCTATGTGCGTGAATGGGTGGTCACTTCTACATAGTGTTGTAGATTTCTGGCACCGTTGATCACTCGGAAAGTCTTCTAACCCGGGGGCTCCGATGAAGAAACGCCTCACCCCGAAATCATAATCACGAACACTTTTGCAGAGTGGCTGTATATATTAGCACACACACACACACACAAGCACAGATCCCAGGCCGGAGAAAAGGAGCTTAGTATATTAAAAGCGTGTACCTTTTTATACAACACTATGACCTTCATTGCACATTCATAATATAACCCCTAGCCCTGAAAAAGAAAAGACTTTTGCCTCCTATGGCGATTGGCTTTCGGTCTTATGCCTTTGTGTAGTAGATTAGTGATCACGAAACATGAGATGGAGGTGCGTTAAAGAATTTGACGCTCATCACTGGCTAGAATTTATGGTGGCAAATCCAGATAACCCTAGCCCTGTTACAGCTACTTCCTCCCCCGTACGAATGCATTTTAAGGTGTGTGTCCTCAAACGCATGTAAATGTTGATGGATTACCTGGTATAAGTTAATTGGGAGTTGTTCTTTGTGGTTCTAATATGCCGTGATTTTTTAACAAATCCCCCCGGCCACTAACTCTTTACTTTTATCTTTCTTTACCTTAAGGCCTAGGTGCATGTATGTACCGGGTGTTGAGGGTAAGTGATCAGAATCTGATAAGTAAATGCTGCGGTGAATACGTGTATTTCTCTTATCAGATTCTGATCACTTTTCGCTACACCCTAGTACAGTTCCTACCCAGATGTCTTCGTGATTCGGGTGGTACGGCGCGCAATAGCAACGAACGCTTGTCGACGCTCGGCATTCAATGATCAACGATCAATAGGTACTCAATGAATTAGTTAAATACATGTATCTTAATATTTAGTTTGCCACCCGCCCGCTGCAATTACTGCAGCAACTCTATCAGGCATTGATCTCCACAATCTCTCATATCATTCTTGAGTAAATTCGTGGGGGTTTGAGGTTGCCGCCGAGCCACCGGAATCACGAAGACATCTGTGTTTATGCATTGTCGGGAATCACGAAGACATCTGGGTTTATGCATTGTAGGGTTACAAAAACAACCGATCACCTGCTTTAATGTCATTGTCATTGGCAACGTCGAAATCCACTTCATATCAGAATAACTCAACAAACGGGAGAGCAACTGAATAATTTAAGTGTCCTAAACGGAGTTAGATGCTTGTAAAGGATTGACTTATCCTTCTGACCTCGAATGTCTCGATGTAAGGTTTCTTCGCTGGATAGTTTTGGTTGCTATGAGCCCCACGAGGTTGCTAGTGATCGGTTATTACAATAGTACATGTACTCTATGCGTAATAGTATATCACATGTCACAGAGTAAATTTCGTATGACGAGTTAATAATATGAGAAGTCCTGTCGAGTTCAATCAAAGTCATTTTCTGTCGGTATAAGCAAAAACGTTTAATGGTTCGCATCTTAACGAAAGTCACTATACCTACATGGTATCATACTGCCATGTGCGTCGTAAACGTTAAACTGGCACTATGAAACACACGAGAGAACGATAGGCTAAGAAAACATTCCGTAAACAATCATCCCCGTTACTAATCCATGAAAAGCTTCTTTACACTGAAAGAAGTTGCCACTCAAACTACCCTGCGAACGTGCTAGTTTACCCTTCGCCACGGCGTCCCTGATTGACAGGTACCAAATCTGAAACTCACCTAATGGTGGGCCTTCTATGCCTGAGGACGTCAAAATAAAGTGTGGCTTAACGATGCTAGAGTGCCGCCAAAACTCGAAAAATTGGCTATCTCCGCCCAGGGATTATCTCTAAAACGATTGGCTGAAAGGTATCGATCAGCCTCAGAAGCATCCGTTTGTAGCAAGTTTGATCTTGTATGCATAGCCAATTTTTCGAGTTTTGGCGGTTGAGGCGTTTTCGTAAGGAAGACCCTTCGCCAACGTTCTTGGGGTCATTTTCATTGGTTGCAAGACAGATGCTGGCGACCCCTTTGCGGGTAAATCGAGTGATAGTCCATGATTAACGTTAGCCACAGGAATCACGCTATTCTAAATCGGAACATAGTGCTCGATCGAGATCAAGACCGATTATCAAGTCTATACAGTCGCACCTCGTTATGTCGTTAGCGTATTCTGGGAGCCCAACCCGTACGAGATAGCAAATATACCAAAATATACGAGATAGCAAATAGGTTTATGTGGAGGAAGGCAGTACTTGTCCCGCAAACCAGTACGAGACAGCAAGAGATCCGAGATATCGAATTACAAGATAGCGAGGTGCAACTGTAAAGTCACAGCCACGGCCCGTCTGCCGGTCAGCCACAAGCCGCGGCTTCTACTCGGGTAGTGACACATGTCAATCAGATAAGATCCTGCAAGTTGATGATAAACCAGGTTTCCTACCCGTTTCTAGAAACATTTGTCCTCCTTCTTTCATGCATGATTACTCTGCGCGGATCATCATCAGCAGGAGCATCGGCGTACCATGATCTTCTTCCTGCCGGCTGGTTCCAAGAAAACATACGAGCGAAAAAAGAAAAAATCGTTATTGTCTTACAAATGGAAGCCTCCATCGGAAAGCTGTTGATGATGATTACAGTATTCCGTATCCATCGGGTTAAACGGTCAATCTACACAAAGAGTCGAGCGCTCCGATCAGTCACTCTACTCTACTGGATATCATGCTTGAATTGCTCCCGGCGGGCGCCCTCCCGTACCGTTTCCCAACAAATAATCGTGAGAATGTAGGAGGGGGTGAAAAGAATAATTGCTTTTTTGTTTTTCTTCTCCGTTTTACCGG